ATTGCTTTTATTTGGTACTCAAAATACTAATATATTGGGGAAATTGTGTATAAAACAATTGATTTCCACATTCTGTTGACATCCCTACTTGCCAAGTATGAATTAACTGATTCACATTACAAAAGTGTACATTGCAGCAGAAAAAAACTGCTTTTGTCTTTCTGTTTCTTTGGTCAAGCAAAATAAGCCAATTTCTAAATAATATACTGTGGTTATGGCTCACACATTCGAGGAGACTGTGCCCAAGGTACCCTATCATACTCCTCAGATTTAACAGTAAATATATAGACAGCTTGAAGTACACTCTAAATGAAATAACTTAGGCTTACAGGTAGTAAAATTAAAACCAATTAAATGAAACTTTATTTAAATAGATCATTCTGAACTGAAACAGTTAGTGCATTTTTCTTTGCAGAAAAGTTTACCAGCAAAACATAACATCTCATTTTCAGTGACACTCATCAAATAGACCAGCATTAGATCATTGTCTACCCTGAAGTGGCATCACGTTCAATTCACTTATGAGTCCACTCACTTAGATAATTTCTTCACTGTTGACAAAATCCCACACAGTCATTTTCCAATCAAATCTAATCATCCTATTACTGGACTCTCTAATCCTATTTCAGCACATTGGGCATTGGCTACTCTCCAGATATCAGATGGTAAAATGACCTAAAGGAAGAACACCAACGGAAAAAAATGAAAATTAATAGAGTGGTTTTATAAAAATACAGGACTTTAAGCCACTCAACACTTAGTTGCAAAACTGAGTGAGATCATGGACCATTGAGTTATAGCAAAAATTTTTAAGTGGGCTCCTTGAATTATCTTGGGATTATAGAAATGAACCTCCACGTGTCCATGAATGAATAAGTTGTGAGCAAAATATCTGTATATATGTATTTTCAGGGAGAGGGCATATATTTCTTAATAAAATATTAAAATCATTCTTAATCACACACACACACCCCCAAATTAAAACCACTTATGTGGAAAAAAGGCATGGGTAGCTAAAAATTACACTGAAAATAGGTAGTGATACATTTTTTAAAAATAAACAGTTGAATTTCTAATAAAGCCAATTGTCTAATACCATCTGAAGCCAAATAAGCATTGGATTAATCTAGAAAAATAGTTATACCAAAAGTAATTTATTTTTATCTTTAGTGCACTCTCTTAAAATTTTGCATTTGAAAGATGTGGTATCCAATGTTTGAATCGAGAGCAATATTCAAATAAAAAGACACAGTTAATTTAAAACATTTTAGCTCTTAAGAAGAATAATCAAACTTCAGCCAGATAAATTTAGATTACCCTGAAAAGTTGAAGGTAATATATTGGCCTAATAAGTTCAAGAGGATATCCCACTATACAAAACTTGAGAGCAAGAAGTCAACTGGAGCCAGGGTGGCAAGAACTCATGCAAGCAAAATTTTTCTCTGAAAAGAATTTAGAGCTGACTTAGAGGAAATTCTTTCTTTTAAGTTCTTTGTGACACCCTCATTCTAGGGTAAATTCATTAGAGTGGGCTACCACGCTCTCTAAATTCCTACAGTTACCATGTCTTCTAACGAGATAGATAATTAACACTTCCAATCTCTGACATAGAAAGTCCTAGTCATATATGGGACACTATTTGGAGTATAGAAGGAGAAATGGGGAAACACTGTGTTTTGAAGTTAATCTGATCTGTAGTTATAAAAACAGAAAATTTCTTCTGCCAACTTAACATTTTAATATGTAGTCATTATAATTTGTTTTTATCTTCATAGCTAATTAGATGATACATTTTTCTTTATTTTAGTATCCTATTAAAAATAAATTTATAAAATAACCATATACTGTCATTCAATAATCAACATTTTTGGCCAAAAAGTGGAGAAATTTACTTATTCATTTACTTACCTTATTTCTGTTTTTATCAGGACATTTTTATAAGGACACACATTATACAGATAATTGAAAGAAAATAACATACTATTACCTGAGAAAACAAAGTACGGTAGTTAAGACAATAAAGAACACAAATATAAAAGCCTGAGGGTCTTATACTCATATAATTATTAATTCTTAGCTCTTAATTTGACTCTGGCATCCTTGGTTGCTAACAGAAATGGTAAATGAGATGAGTTACATGATTTTTATTGTATGTAAGAGCAGAACACACCACTTACCCTGAGTTGGTTTAAGTGAGGAGGAGGGGTGTGAGAATTTAATCCATGAAATTGGTATTAAAGAAATGTTTGGGGGGAGCTGTCTAAGGGATCTAAATTCCTTAGGCATCTTTATATAAGGAATAGTAAGTAATGTGTTGACCAAGACTTTAGTAACAGTCCTGTAGTAGACAAAGACTGGGTTGTGTAAGCTGGCAGTTGTTTCATATAGAATATTTTTATATAAGTTGAGAGCATACGGTCAAAGCATAGTAAAGGCAATTCTGTCTTGGGGTGTCCTAAACAATGTCACCCACATATTTACTAATTCTAATAATTTGAATTACTCTGAAATCATAGACTCTCCAGAAGTAGAGATTAACCATGAGTGTTCTACGGTCAAAGCATAGTAAAGGCAATTCTGTCTTGGGGTGTCCTAAACAATGTCACCCACATATTTACTAATTCTGATAATTTGAATTACTCTGAAATCATAGACTCTCCAGAAGTAGAGATTAACCATGAGTGTTCTGGAAAAACATTCATACATTTCATATTTTTCAACAATTTTTTCAATAAATGTTGGGCAGCAGAAATTGGCAAGGACCTAAATTGCAAGTATTCTGTGTTTTACCTTTTTGTAATTCTCCATCACTTCTTTGGCAATGGACAATAAAATACAAATAGCATATTTATCTCTGTGCTTCTACAGAACTTTGTAGAACTTGCCATGTTGTTTTGCAATGTATCTTCTCAAGGGCAGAAACTGAATCTCATTTATCTTTGTATCCTGGCATCTAGCAAAGGAAGTCGAACATAATGGATTTTTAATCCACTATGCTTTCCTGAATGAGCCACTTAGCAGAATTTTGAGAGCATCACCACCTCTCATATAGTTGAAAAAGGTCAAGGTCGTGCACCAACTAACACCAAGGAACCTAATTTATAGTCAAAGCTTTCCTTTGACACCAATTCAAAACCATTAACTGGGGATACTGTATCAAATGATGTAGGTATGGAATTTTTTTAAAAAAAATCAGAAAACCATCCAGAGCAACCTACAAAATCTAAGCTTGTGTGTATGATGCCAATGACGTGACAGATCAATGTTCATACAAATGATCTATGAAAAAAAATAGCCCTATCCCACTTTCTAAACTGAGTGAGAATAGATCTGTAACATTCAGATTTTAAAAATCAGCTTCATGAGAATTTACCATGGAGTCATATTTAAAGTCATAAAATGACAAGTCAAAGTCCACAATCATGATAATAAATTCTTGGTGTGGGGCCTATACATCCAGCAGCAGAATCATATAGTGAATAATTACGTTTTTAGGGAATCTACAGGTGCTTGCAAATTGTAGGTTTTGGATATAACAACTAAACATAAATAGAATTAGGAACCTTATAACTGAATTTGAAGAAACAACCAGACCCCTAAAATTGGGATGAGGAAAGAGGTTTCTGTTGTTTTGTTTTGCTTTACTTTGTTTTCAATATGGCTTAGGTTTAGAATCTATGTATTCAACACTTTAGAAAACTGCCTCGCAGTCACATAAGGGCCTCATCGAACCATTCTTCGCTAATGTTTTGGTCTCTCCTAGTTCTCACTTGGGAGCGAGGTCTCACTACGCAACATTTCAGCACTACGGACAGCTCCTGGGCGCCTGCTCCTGGGAACGAGAAGAGGTTCAGTTGGGTTTGTGTAGAAGAGAAAAGGGGGAAGAGGAGGGAAAAGAACTCCAAATGACCCACTCAGTCTCCAGTTAAACCAGTACACCTTTCAATCTCGTCTTTCCCTTATCAGGTGAGAAGAAACAAGTAAGAATTTAGCGCCTACTATTCGACTGTCACCGAGCACAGCAAAGTGCCCGCGGCGGAGCTAGGAATGCGGCAGGGGAAAACAAGGATTTTAGCAATAACTTAATTAAACCCCCACTGCCTTAGGAAGCAAAAATGGTGATGAACCCCGATTGCTAACCTGCAGGGTGTGATACGAGTTAAAATGAGCTCTCTCTTTCTCTCTCTCTCTCTTTCTCTTTCTCTCTCTCTCTCTCTCTCTCTCTCTCTCTCTCTCTCTGTCTCTCTAGCAAAACTGAAGGACAGAGCCTGTTGCTGCTGTAGCCGATTCCCGTCCCCCTGTCATTTCCCACTTCCTTTCGGTCTCACATACATACACGGTCAGATGCTCTCACATACACACGCACGCGCGCTAATGTTTACACCCTGCTACACCGAAGAAATCCATGCATATTTTCCTGCAAATACACAAGCGCGCGCACACGTACTTCAGCGGGCGCCACGTCCTCTGTCTCTCACCCACAGACACAGACATTTACACACGTAGGCCAGGACAGCGCTAATCAAAGTACTGTGACTCCACGCAGGTTCCCAAGACACGCCTTTTCGTTGTTGCTCAACCGATCAGCGAACACAGACAAACCTGCCAACACTTAAGCCTACTCGCTGGATTTCATCTCCATGGCAACAAGCATGGAAGGTGAGATATCGCTGCTGCGAAGTAACTTTCTCCCCCTTCCCTGCGCATTAACTGACAGGGTTCCAGTGCGGGTCCAAACGAGAAGCATGTCCTCATTTTCCTGTATTTCTGAAGCAAGGGAGCGGGAGGTTAAGGAAGATGAGGGTGGAGATGGGGGTGGGGGTGAGCCTGCAGGTCTGGTGAGTTCAAATTCTGAAGGGGAAAGAACCCCAATGCTTCCGCAGCTGCTGATGCTGCTGCCAAAAAAAAAAAAAAAGCATGGGTTGTTGTGTGTGCAGATTGCTAATGCTTCTCCCGTAATGTTTTGTAGGAAGTTTCCATGCTTCTTCAGTTTAATATGTAGAAAGAGAACTGAAGACAAACAATGCAGAATGATGATTGTCTAGATTTCTCTAGTGAGACATTTTGAGAATTTTCAGACAGGTTTCCCAGTGCTTGGGAAGGAATGAGTGCCAGCGTCCTTGGGAGCCCTCCAAAGATTCTCTTAAGAGGGTATTTCTCTTAAGGTTGAAATCTGAGGGGTTTGGGAGTGGATTCTGACAGACCCCAAGGTTTTGGATCTCTGGGAAGCCCTGAAATTTACACAGTTCACCATGAGGAAGACATCTGGGTTTGTAATTTAAGATTTTCCTTTGATTCCAACCCATTTCATTCCTAATGATTAACTAGTTCTATGCAGATGTTGCTCCAATGATGCTTCTTTCCTTCTTTATTTTTAATATAGGATTTAATAGCCTTTATATTTGGTATGGGGTGTGTATGTGTATATATGGGTGGGTTCATTGTTTTCTAAGCTTGGATTTTCTTATGTTTCATTTCACGAAATTATTAATTTCATATCATTAGCATTAGAGATTATTATATCTAATGACCAGTACTAAAATACTGTTACCCAGAACACCATATTCCACTCTAATAATTATTATTTTAGGTTTACTGTTTGGAATACCATTCTTAGGTAAATAAACAAGAGAAAAAAACCTGTTGATTAAAATGAAATACAGGAGGTTCCTTTTTTTTAAGGGACACATACTTTTTTAACTGGCTTCTGTAATTGTGTATTGTATGCAAATTAAAATTTTTGTGTCTCCTAATCAGCAAACTTATTTCGCAGAAGAAATAAACATCACATACAATACTCACGTACATGAAAGTCTACATGTCAGGTAGAAAAATACTGTTATTTTTGCTGACTAATTACAATGGTATGACGTGTATGAGTGATCATAGAAAGAATTTGGTTTCTTTATTTATTCGTTGCTAACTATGAAGCAACTCTGTGGGTTCTGGGCCTTTTGATATCTATAGGCATACCCTTAGCCCAATCCTGTGACTCATCAGGACTTAGAAATCTCACTGCTTGACAATTGTAATAAAGAAAATGGTATACTTTGAAGCAAATTGCTCATTTCTGAAGTATCTAATCATTTATTCTAGTGAATGTGAGTCAAGACAGTATTTGATCATTTGCAGTAATATTATAAAAATATACTTAACTTTTTAAATCATAATACATATAGGCCCTGATATTCAAAGTGTGCAATGTTGATAGTTTTACCCAATTTTTATGGTGTAGCATATTTAAAATAACTTTTACCCCTACCCAATTTTATATTCAAGTTCCTTTTGTTTTTAATTCCTTTTTTTTTTTTTGCTGACTACTTTTTTCTCATATGGGTTTTTTTATTTATGGTTTTGTAAATTCATGATCAAAATTCCTCTCACATTTCTTTCATTTTCTCTTTCCCAGGATATTAAGATGATGTTTTCCCCCTGGAGTAGGCATTACAATGTCTGTTTTGCAGAATCTGATGATTTTTGCTTTCCTATTTCTTTAGCAATTAGAGAAAGTAAAAATGTATCTTTTACCCATATTTTTATCCAAGTATTTTGGATACCTTATTAATTATGAGAAATTAGTGTTGTTACTAAAGACTTTTATTTGTTCTTACCAGTATTTTATATCATATTATGCTCTATATCATCAGAAAGACACAAAGCTCAATACACTTAGCAGTATATTCTCGAAAACTTTAGACTTGGTGTTGAAATGAGATAAGTTTTTCATTTCACAGAACAAGTAAAATGGAAAGTTTGGGCAATTATTTGAAAAAAATTGAGGTCTGAAAAACCAGTATTTCAACTGCTACATATATGGCTTAAGTTACCCAGACCATCTATTTGCTGAAAATAGTGTTAGTCAATTGCTTAACTTTTTGCTTTTATTTTCCTGTACAGATTCAGCCTGCAGCAATGGCCAGACTTTTTTTCAGTCTTTCGATATTACCCTTTCAGTTGTCCTCCTTGACCTATAGTTTATTTTCATCTTTAGGACAAGTAAAATCTTAAGATGAATATAAAAGTCTGAGTTTTTCTTTTTAAGATATTTATAAAACATCTGTTCTTTCCCAACCCAAAATTTTTGTTAAAAATGGAAATTTCATAGTTCTTTGAACCCCTGGTTAATCTACTTGGCTCTTGTTTTAAAAATTGAATGCAGGGCCGAGCCCATGGCGCACTCGGGAGAGTGTGGCACTGGGAGTGCAGCAGCGCTCCCGCAACGGGTTAGGATCCTATATAGGGATGACCGGTGCGCTCACAGTGCTCACTGGCTGAGTGCGGTGCGGCCGTTCAAAAAAAAAAAAAAAAAAAAAAAAAAAATTGAATGCAATCCTCCCTCAGTATTTGTGGGGGTGGGGGTGGGGAGGGGTGTTATTGGTTCCAAGCCCCCTCCCATCACCGCCTCCCCTACAAGGGACCACAATCCTCGGATACTCAAGTTCTTTAAGTTGGCCCTCTATAGCCACAGGATTCAGAACCTGTGACTATGGAGGGCTAACTATTTGGTCATATCCTTATTATTGAAAATGATCAGTCTAATGATTTAACTTTCTGCAACTTTAACTACTTTAACTTTTGTGCAAGTTAAACATATTTTCTGTCGTCTTTTGTTTTGTTTGTTTTTTTGCCACCTGACTCCATTTTCTCATTACCCATCTCTCCTAAATCCCCTTCAATTTGGTGTCCCTCCTGGACACTCAACAGAAGTTTTATAATGATAAAATAATTCTGAATGCCAAAACCAAGGCCTTGTTTTTCAGTGCTGTGTTTCCATCACCACTGCAGAATTTGACACTGTTAACCGATGCCTCCTTCTAGAATCCCTAGCTTCCTTTGTTTTAAGTGAACTTCCTACTACAGATTTACTCAGGACCCTGAGCACTCCTGATATAACTCCACTAGGAAGTCCTGTTTTCTCTTTGTAGCAGAGGCATTTCTTGAGGCTCATTGCTAGGTTTCCTCCATCTTCAATCCTTTCTGGTAACAGCAAATAGAATCTTAATGGAATTACAACAAAATTGCCCAATGGATCAATCTAAAACAAGTCCTAAAACAAGGCTTTCTGCAACATAGCATTTCAAATATTTAAGTCACAGCTAATGTCTTCCTTGGTCTTCCATTTCCTAGGCAAATCTCAACAATCCTTTCACTCTCTTGAGTTTTGACCTGCAAATTTGAAGGTATTTCAAAAAGTTCTTGTAAAAATAGAATTAAAAGATAATATGAATCTTTCCATGAACTTTTGGAAGTTCCCTTGAACTTCTGTGTACTGGGCTCTCTCCATCCTGGATAGATTATTCTATACAAAATTTATTTGACAGTAATACCCTTAAAATATTCTTTCTACCAGGAATTTTATGCTGGACAAAATTATCTGGATTAATTTATTTAAAACTATCTATTGAATGTCTACTCTGTGCCAGGCATGAGCACAACAAATTCATAAGCCCAGGACAAAACTAAATTCTTCATCTACTTTCTAACTCTAGATTTTGTTCTTATTTTTTAAAAACTTTGATTAATGAAAGCACTATCTTTATACTTGTCCAGCCTTAGTAGAGTGGAGTCACTTTTGATGCCTTTCTCTCCATGGCCCACTACCTTCCATCAATTGCCACATCCTACCCCTTCTATATTTATAAGTAACTTTCAAACCCACACCCTCTTCTCCACATCGACTCCCTAGTGAGGGCCCTCATTGCCTCTCATCTAACCACTTTTTCCCATGATGCTCTCTCCCTCAAATTTATGTCAACTTCAACTTCATAATCAAGCCACTCAACCTTTAGGCAAATAAATTTCAAACTCTTAGCCTGACAGTGAAGATACTTTACTATTTGGCTCCAACCTACCTTTCTAATGTTTTGTTTCCCATATTCCTCTTTGCTTGGACCAAATTGCTCATGATCTTCTGAACAAATTCAGCACTTTCTGCCTTTATGTTTATTGTCATGCTCTTTCCTTCTCAACATATCTAAACCCTTCTGTCTTTTAAGACTCAATTGAAATACAATCCCTTACAAGAAAAACTTCTCTGATCTGCAGATGGGCAAAATATCTGTTCCCTCTAAATTTGTTTACTCTTTCTGAATCTCTCTTTTTTCACCAAGACGTTGAAGATAATATCAATCCCATATGACTGTTGTGAGAATAAAATAATATATGTAAAGCAGTATTTGATTCACAGTAGATGTTAAGTACATTTGCTTCCTCCTCCTTTTGTCTTTGCAGAAGCTTACATTATTTTATTCTTGTGTGTGCATGCCTTCTCTTCCTTGCTAGTTGGAATATCTTCGACTAGAGGAATCCCTGTCTGCTAGAACATAGTAGCAACTCAATAAATAGTTTTGGATGAAAGTATAGTGAATGTGTAATTATACACGGCCCAACTGATGCATAATAATAGTATTATTACTTTCTATCACTTGCACCCTATTCAATGTAAGACAGCATTTGCTTTTTCAAGCAACTTTCTCACATCTTTGGCTCATACTAACTTTTGATTAACTGCAACTTGCAGATTTATTTCAGATGAACTGCCAAGTCATGTCTCTCCTATCGGGGTTGGTACATCTTCCTCCTTCCGCTCTAAACACAGAACTTTAGAAGTATTTCGATCAAATTTTGTGACTGATTTCAACCCAGAATTCTAGTTGCCAGGATTGTCTTGAATATTGATTTGTGAGCTACTATATAGTTTCAGCCAAACTTTGTGTCAAATTTGATAATCATCACTTCAATGTCTTCAATATAGTTACTTTTCAAAAATACTGCGGAGGATGTAGATAAAGGTAGACCTTTGTGATACTACATTGGAGACATAACTCCATAATTATAAAACCCAATATCTAATAGGGCAGTACAGTGAACAATGACTCTTCATAAAAATACCATTATCCAATATAGTTACTTTTCAAAAATACTGCGGAGGATGTAGATAAAGGTAGACCTTTGTGATACTACATTGGAGACATAACTCCATAATTACAAAACCCAATATCTAATAGGGCAGTACAGTGAACAATGACTCTTCATAAAAATACCATTATCTAAGAATATCTTACATCTTCTCCACAAAGATATCATAGGAGACTGTTGAATGCATTGTCAAAATCACTAATCTCTCTTCATGCTATTTCCCTGATTCACCACGGTAGTAGTAAACTTTCAAAAAGAAGTGAATTTGGCACTACTTATTAAACTCATGTTAACTTATAATGACTTCTTAAATGCTGATAAATTACCTATTAAATGATTAATTATGGATTTTCATAAAAGATTAATTCCAAGTTACCAATGTGTAAGTTTCACAATTTCCCCTTACTTCTTTTGAAAATTGATACATTTGTCTGTTCACATTCATACTTCTGGCAGCTCTCCTATGGTCAGTAATATCTCAAAGATTTTTAAAGTGTATCTGCATGTTATAAATCATCTGATCCTGGAAGTTTTAATGCATTATTCAACTACATTCTGGTCCCCCTCCACTATTTGATGTTTCTGTCATTTTTAAAGACCACGCTACATTGGTTAAAAAGACAGAAGTAGATTAAGTAGTTCTGCCTTTTCTTTGTCATTTGATACCATTAAACCATCTTGCAAAAGTAGGGGGTTGAATCCTTATTTCTTGATACAAACATACACTATATGAAATCCTTCCACTTCAACGCCTTTGCTACGGCTGTTTCCTCAAACCTCAATGCTTTTCCTTCAGATATTTTTACAGTTCCCTCTTTGACATCATTCAGGCTTTGGGTCAAATTTGTCTATCTAGGGAGGTCTTTGCTAACTTCTTTAACTAAAGGAGTGCCCCCTCCACCATTATTCTCTTTCCACTTAACTTGCTTTGCTTTCTTTCATAGTATTTATGACTGCGACTGCCTGGCGTAGTGTATAGATATGAGGACAGATACATAGAGATAGATATTTTAAAATAATTGTGTCTACCTCCTCCACTGGGATGTAACCCTCAGTATGGCAGGTGCACATTGTTATCACAATACACTAGCACAAAGAACAGTGCTGATATATAACAGATACTCAGTATGTATTTGTTTGGTGAATAAATTAAAATATTAGTATATGTTACCTTAAACTCATTAAACTGTTTAGACTTCCTGACAGCATCCTTAATGTTTTTGGTCACTTCTCAGCATTTGCCCTAGTTGCACTGCATTTCTTCTATATTTGTATCAATAATAGAGAGATTAAGAGTGCTTATCAATTATGTTTAAAGCCACGAAATAGCCATGTATCTATTTCTTCAAGGTAGTATAAAAAACAGTGACTTTATTCCTTTATTAACAGTGACTCTGTATATTCAATTATTGTTTATAGCCCTACCTGATTCTAAAAGCCTTTGAAGTAAGTTACAATAATCTTTTTAGCTAAAGGTATCAGCCAAGTAATGCAGATGGTAAGGGCAAAAGAAGAAGAGGTAATTATACCAGAAATCTAAAACTGATCAAAGTCACTGTAATTGAATACAAAGTTTAACTCTGTACTTCCTGATAGACTAATGTCAAAATAATATTATGGCTACATACCTTTCCTTAGAAAATGAAAGGAAACTCACAAAGTTGATAAGAAGTATCCGTTTTCTCTACTTTTGAATACTAAAAACAATGTGAGTGTTTCTCAGAATGCTATATTAATCAATCAATCAGATAGGAAAGAACAGAAACACTGACCTCTGAAAGAGCTGCTGAATTTTGATACTTATCTTCAAGGCTAATATTTGAAATAAAATAAAAGTGTTCTCTTTTATTTTGACTTAATGCATTTTCATGTTTTCTTAATATTTAAAATTATATTTTTACAAAACAAAAACTTTATCAAAAATTATATTCTTCCTCATATTTAGTTTAATTCAATTAAAATATTTACTGAATACTTATAATGTGCCAGGAACTGTGGTAACTACTTGAAAAGTAGTTATTTCTCCATTAAAAAATGATATATAACTCACTAATTTACATTTGATCTAAGACTCAGTACAAAATATAAGGGATTTTGTGTCTTTAACTAGGAAGATACCTTGTTTTAATTTAATAGTGACAAATGAGATGAGTGTTTGTACTGATACCTCTAGAAAATGACTCTTTGTTTGGTTGGTTAGTTGGTAGGTTTTAATAGGAATAACAGAGTCTAATGGATTAATCACTGGCTAACAGCCAACATACAACTCTTTCAATGATCAGCTCTGACCCTGTGTCTGTATCTGCATTACGATTTTTAAAAACACCTAAATAAATTTAAATAATACTATATTATACTCAGTTTGGGCTGTTTNAATTTAATAGTGACAAATGAGATGAGTGTTTGTACTGATACCTCTAGAAAATGACTCTTTGGTTGGTTGGTTAGTTGGTAGGTTTTAATAGGAATAACAGAGTCTAATGGATTAATCACTGGCTAACAGCCAACATACAACTCTTTCAATGATCAGCTATGACCCTGTGTCTGTATCTGCATTACGATTTTTAAAAACACCTAAATAAATTTAAATAATACTATATTATACTCAGTTTAGGCTGTTTCTACATGACAGCAAAATGAACTAACTGAAAGATGAACAAATCATTAAAACTGCCCAGGTTTTTTAACCTGTGTGGTGCCAGTTTTTATAGACTGGGTTCACCAGAAACCAGACTCTGAGACAGAGTTTAGCGTACCAGACTTTTAGTAAGGAGTGTCCTTGGACTGAACACCTGTGGAAGAGTGAGGAATTAAGCAGGAGAGGGCAGAATTTGAGCTGCGATATTGACTCAATAACAACTTCAGTTGACTCCACGTGAAACCTAGAGCTGGAATGGTCCTTCAGCATTGTCTTCCTTTGAGTCAAGACGGCCTTTATACTATCATATCATTCAGCTATTGAATATTATCTTCCCCTGGAAACAGCCATGACCTTGGATGAGGCAGCTCTCTGCAACTGAAAGCCAGTCTGTGAACGGCGCTGACCTCTGAGGAGGACTGGCCACATTCTCAGCTGCCTGGCCACAAGCCAAGCCCTTCCTGAAGGGAACCTCTTGGGCACACCACAGTATTCACCAGTAAACAAGGTTTATTACCTTCTCTTAACCACATATCCCCTGAAATATCCAAATGTTGTAGCCTAGCAAGGTTATGCTCTAGTGGAAAAATAATTTGAAGAAGTTACTCGATTGAATCAGTTTTACATGACAAATGCTTGGTCCAGCATCTCCATGTAGAAACTTCCTGCTTTTCAGTTTCTCCATCTATTAAACAAATGAACCAGAAAGTATATAAATCTTAACAAATTACCTTTAATTGGCACAGTCAAGAAAATTAGAGATTTAGCCAGAAAAAAGTTCCAGTTAAGTCTCAGGGTCATTAGATATTCAGTCCAGTCTCCTATGCCTTTTATAGAATAAATAGCACAGGAACTCAATCTTCAGAAAGATCACTCTGAGCCACTTAACTGTTCCTAATTTTTTTAAAAAAGTTAAAGTATGCTTACTATACTGTATTTATTATAGCACAAAAATGATTTGGTGAAAAGAAATTCAACAGAGGGGTTTGAACAATATTTTTTTTCCTACTATTAAACAAAAACTCAGACAACTAGCTACCCCAGAATGTATTAAATATTTCTGTCACTTAAGGTTTGAAGTTAGAGCTCTTTTGTAATCCAAAACATTATATAATAAAATATTGACAGTATTAATTGGTGCATTGTTCACTGAATAATGTTGAAAACTACAAGGCTTGTTCATGTTAACTACTCTCTTTATCCACTTCTTACCTCCTTTCCCTTGTTCTGTCTCAATTGTTTTCCAAAAATTGAATCTCAAAAAATCCCAAGTATCAATCATTTTAAGAAATATAATTCTTAAAAATTATCAGAAGAAAGCAACAATTTATTGTTCATGTTAACTACTCTCTTTATCCACTTCTTACCTCCTTTCCCTTGTTCTGTCTCAATAGTTTTCCAAAAATTGAATCTCAAAAAATCCCAAGTATCAATCATTTTAAGAAATATAATTCTTAAAAATTATCAGAAGAAAGCAACAATTTAAAAAAAAATTACCATCAGTATTCTTAGTTATTGTTATAACAAGCTATTTGGTGACAGTCCTCTCAAGAAGAGTAGCTGTACTTTAGTAATCATTTGATTAAATTAACAAATTTCTACTTTATTTTTAATGAATTAACTTAAGACACCAAATGGGAAAAAAGTCTTTTGTTTAAATTCAACATATACTTTCTGGACACTTAGTTGTAGTTTTAGCCTCTCAATATACTAGGTGCTTAGGAGTGAATATCTGGTTGGGATGAAGATGGGGGAACTTGTCTTGCAGCTGAATTTACAGAGAAAGCATGCTGTTTAACTTGGATTTTATGTTTATTTAGGGTGTTCTGAAAGCTGATGGAGATGGTGGGGAGGTGGCTGATGGCCCACAGCTACTGCTGCTTGTTACTTGCAAGCTGACATGTTGGGCACTGTTTATATTAATATAACTTCTCCTTTTAGAAAATGAACATTTAGTGTATGGAATGGTAGTAGAGATGAAAATGCAAGTACCTAAATGTAAAAGCTACAGGGGGTGAGAAAGAGAAAAGACATTACATCTGTTTAAAAGGATCACGATTTGTATCAGACAGAATGGTACTGGAGATAGACCTTGAAGTACGGACATTAAACAGCTCGGCCAGCTTATACTCCATGATTACTCACAGTGTTATGTAGTCATGCAAAAATGAAGTGATAATTAAATGGCAATTCAGCTCAGAGAAACAATGACTTAACCATCTAGCAATGAATCAAAAGTTTTTAGGGCTAATAATTTGAATATTCATATTCATACTTGATTTTATGTTTAGAATATGTGGACGCAGTTTTATGGGCCCATAAAGGCAATTCTGTAATTATTACAATAGAAGTAGCATCTCCAATGTCATTTTGATTCTGATCCACATATGACGTTTTCAAACATCTTTTGTGAGTTAAGTCAAGAGGGTTTGAAAATGCCAGATTTTATAAAACAACTATCTGCCCAGTACCATACACGGGTAAAACTAAACTGAGTCCAATTTTGTACCTAGGCCAAGAGGTGATTCCAGCAGGAATTGTGAAGAGCCACAACGATGTGCCAGTGAATAATGAGTAGTACCTACTGTGGCAACTCTTCAGCTAAGATGAGCGTCAACGAAATATCAGCTTTCTCACTGACTCTGGAGCAAAAATCTGGCTTTGCTTTTGTTGGGATTTTGTGTATCTTCTTGGGACTCCTTATTATCAGATGCTTCAAAATCCTCTTAGACCCATATAGCAGCATGCCTTCCTCTACATGGGAAGATGAAGTTGAAGAGTTTGATAAAGGGACATTTGAATATGCACTCGCGTGAGAGTTCCAGCTTTACGGGTTTTATGGTTATGCCTTTGGGACACGTGGTGGGTGCATTTGTGACCTTGAGTGTGCAGGCGAGAGGCTCATTTCATTCACTGAATTCAATAAACATCTATGATTAACTTATCCACCATGCTGTGTAAATGATAAACCGTTGTTGGGCTTCCTCTCTTTTCCCACATCATGGTTTCTAATAAATAGAGCATAAGAATCACTTCAGCCATATACACCATATTTAAACTTAACTCGAACAACTGCCTTGAATTTGTGCCTTTTTGTCCTCTGTTAATGAACCGTGAGAGGCTTCCTACTTCCTCCCCTCTGCAAAGCTTAGTCTCCCTCTCTATATTCCAGAGTTGGCCCCTTTAGCGTTAGTGAATTAAGTTTTAAACATAAGGGGCCTTCAGAATATAATTTTTCTAATAACAGCCATAGGTAAAAGGGTTCACAGGTTAAAAAAAAAAAAACAACCTCAAAAATCTAACATCCAAACCCTACAAGCAACCACAGGGCCAAAAGGTCCCCAAATCTCACGACATGATGA